TTTTTCGGGGTTTCCCATAATTTCAAGGCAAAAACCATATTTCCCACTGCAGATTCCTTTGTCGCAGAGGAGATATACGATGTCATCAACCTCGTTGATCACATGATTCGTCTGGCCGTGGCTTTAGCTGGCCTGGGCATGGTTCATCCCTCAGAACTTTTTTCTGTCAGATTTGACTCATTTTGACTTTTGATTGCCAAAAAAAGGGGCCATTCTGGAGTGCTGAACTTTGGAACTTTGGAACCACCCTGGAGTTTCCCGTTTGCAAATCTTCGGGCAGGGCTTCAGTATGCAGATCTTCTTGGTGCATTACATGTATGTCCAGGAGGCGACTGGTCCAATCTGGCTATTTTTCACACTTGTCGACAGAAACGGCCTTTGAAATGGCAGCTGCGCATGCGTATGCATGAGCAGGGCGCCGCTGTCCGGAGATTTCGACGCTGGGTTGGTGGGCTCAGTGTTGGGAGCTTTCTTGAGTGCTGCAAAAAAAACTGGTAAGGATCAGACTTTGGTGATCAGACAACTCACAGGTGGATCCCTGGAGCAGTGGAGCAGTTCGAAACCGGGAAACCCATTCCTTTCAGACACTGGAGATCTGAACTGCAGATACTTGGAAGGTGATTTGCCCAATGGATGGGTGTTGTTTAAATGGAACATGGATCACCCAGCGCAGCGCGCTGAGTTGTGGATCAAGATGGTTGGAACCCCCGCTGCGCAGCTCATTGAGTGTGAGGACTTGGTCCGGAAGCCCAAAGGACATCTCCAAAACAGATTCCAGTTGGGAATTGAGTTTTCTGTTTTTTTTTGAATTTTGGTGATCTTCTGGTTGAAACCCGCCCATCCCCAAACTAGCTTTCATGGGTCCTGCGTGCGCCCTGATGTAAATCCTGAGGCTGCAGCATGCCCTGGGGAGTGCGCCATCTGCGACTTGGAGAATTTCCACCAAGGGTACACTCCTCCTCTCGGTGTATCACGTGAGCCGTTGCAAACAGATTATGATGTGGGTCGGAATTCAATACGCGGAAGCCATAGAATTTTGGACAAACATGCCGATGATTCCTGCCTTTTGGCAGTCTAATCCTTCTTTTGGTCGGTTTTTCTCATTTTTGGCGGTAAGATCCCAATCTTTAGTGGTTCAATTCCCGAGCTTTTGGTGCTTCAACGGTACGTTTCCTGGGTCCCCAACTCCGACCCAAACTCCGAGGCTTAGAGCCTCTGGTGTGCCTGCCGGAGCGGGCCTAGGGGGTGGTGGCTTGTGGGAGATTTCATCGCAGGATATCCATGGGCAAATTTCATGACATTCACAACTTTAAGGAACCTTGTTCACAGGTTCATAGATTGGCTAACCATTGGTGGATCTATATAGATATATTATGATATATTGAACTAGTTGTTTGGGGGTATAAACCAATCATAACCACACACACACAGGTTTCTTGGCGCATTTCCAGTGGCAGCCGGAGACTCTTGCGGAAGCTCTTCTGACTCATGCACTTTAAGATGCATGGCATACGAGCCTAATCTTCGCAATGGCCGAAGTTGATGCGTGCTCATACGATTAGGAAGCTTGAAAACACACATATGGAATCTGCATGAAGGGGGTTGCTGCAGTTGCTCCTGCATTGCTGTCAAGACCGACACTTTGGAGGGTTTCTGACTCACTTCCGCAGCTCCACCAGAATCCCTATGGATCAGCGAAACAGCGTTTCGAGGAGCACTTGGCCCTAAGCCCGGCTCGCGGTTCAAAGGCGCTTTTTGGAAAGACTTTTGACCCGGGAAACTACAGAGGGACTGGTCATTTCGAGTTTGAAACTATTGGAAATCCTATGAAAATCCCACTTCAGGGGTTCCAAACTCGACCCCATACCCAGTTGAATGATTTCATTTTTTTTTGCACCTTGTGTAGATTGGGGGAACCCAGAAAAGCGTGACTGGATGAGTTGAAGCATCAGGCTTTGAAATCTGGACTCACTTTGGACCGTTGATAAGCTATGACTGAGCCAAGGTTCAGATGGCAGCAATAGTTTTGTAGATTTCATTACAACCCAAACCAGATCAGGAATGAACTCGCCCCGACTTGTCGCAGGTTTCGCGGGAGGTGGGTTTGCAGGGAGACTCAGGATAGTTGCTATCCTCTTCCAGGTCATAAACAACATAATATTTTGATATATAATTTGATGATTATAGATACACATCTATATATTATTATAGATGATACACATCTATATATTATTATAGATGACACACATCGATATATTATTATAGATGATACACATCTATATATTATTATAGATGATGCACATCTATATATTATTATAGATGATACACATCTATATATTATTATAGATGATACACATCTATATATTATTATAGATGATACACATCTATATATTATTATAGATGATACACATCTATATATTATTATAGATGATACACATCTATATATTATTATAGATGATACAAACACGATCTATATTTTATTCTTCTGCGCTTCAATAATAAAACACACAGCCTCTATATATTATTATAGATGATACACATCTATATATTATTATAGATGATACACATCTATATATTATTATAGATGATACACATCTATATATTATTATAGATGATACACATCTATATATTATTATAGATGATACACATCTATATATTATTATAGATGATACACATCTATATATTATTATAGATGATACACATCTATATATTATTATAGATGATACACATCTATATATTATTATAGATGATAAACATCTATATATTACTATAGATGATACACACATATATATTATTATAGATGATACACATCTATATATTATTATAGATGATACACATCTATATATTATTATAGATGATACACATCTATATATTATTATAGATGATACACATCTATATATTATTATAGATGATACACATCTATGTATTATTACAGATGATACACATCTATGTATTATTACAGATGATACACATCTATATATTATTACAGATGATACACATCTATATATTATTACAGATGATACACATCTATATATTATTATAGATGATACACATCTATATATTATTATAGATGATGCACATTTATATATTATTATAGATGATACACATCTATTTATTATTATAGATGATACACATCTATATATTATTATAGATGATACACATCTATATATTATTATAGATGATACACATCTATATATTATTATAGATGATACACATCTATATATTATTATAGATGATACACATCTATATATTATTATAGATGATACACATCTATATATTATTATAGATGATACACATCTATATATTATTATAGATGATACACATCTATATTATTATAGATGATACACATCTATATATTATTATAGATGATACACATCTATATATTATTATAGATGATACACATCTATATATTATTATAGATGATACACATCTATATATTATTATAGATGATACACATCTATATATTATTATAGATGATACACATATATATATATTATTATAGATGATACACATATATATTATTATAGATGATACACATCTATATATTCTTATAGATGATACACATCTATATATTATTATAGATGATGCACATCTATATATTATTATAGATTATATATTTGATATAGGTTTATATATTTTGCTGCTTCAAAAGGCCGCGACTGTCGTTCAAAAATGGGGTTTCTGCTCGAAAATGGACACGCGCCTTTTAGGTCAAAACTTTCGTATCTCTCCAGCTATCTGAAATCCTCAGGCTAAGACTTCCTTGTGAGCATACCTTTCACGGTTCCTGCGCTGATGGATGGATGATCCGCGAGGCGCCCTGACAGAGATTTTTTCCACTCAAGGCTTCAAGGGGCATCGCTGCCCCTCATTTTCCACCAGCAAGTCCTGCACATATCTCCGAAATGATGGGATCTGAGGTTTGTGACTAGGTTTGACAACCCCAAACGTGGCTTTCAATGGTGTCTGAGGACGGTCATAGCACTGCGGATTTTCCCAGTGCTATTTATGTCCCATTTAGCATACCAGCGCCTCATCACCGTGGTTATAAAAGCGAGTTCCAAAGGGGTACCTCAGTGGCCTTAGCGTGATGATTGGTCAGCCAATCAAGAGGTCTACTGTGACAGGATGGAATCGGTAGACCCCAGCAGTACATTTGTTTTTTTTAAACCACTGTTTTAGTAGGATTTTGCTTCTCCATTTTTTTGGTGGTTGCTATACAGGCTATACAGTACTCTGTTTGAATCAGGTGGAAATGATCCCTGGGAGGGTAAAATGGTAGAGTTTCCCATTCCAGGGTCATTTCCAGTGGAATAACCAAGTGCCATTAGATGTATTGGAAGGAACATTTAAAACCACGTTGAGATGTTCCAAAGATCACAAGAATCTAATTCCTTTCCCCCAATATTGAATGCGCCACAAACGCAACTGTGATTTAGAACTTTATCTGGTCCTTTCGGGGCCCCCAATGACGTTGGATGCACTTCTGGGTACAACCGGTTGAAAACGTATTGGTGCCATTACATCTCATCATGTCAAGTTTATATCCCCATCAAACCCATTGACATATCCTGAACCCATGATGATTTGTTATCCCCATGATATTGCCAC